AGTTCCCTGAACCAAGACAAATTTGGAAGCTAGGAATGGAGACTTTCTTCAAACCCCACTGACTTTGGGATGTGCAGCCAGACATCCTCTGCTCTGATCCAAGCATCATTCAACCTCTTGTGAGTTAATGGACATGCAACAGGAGGTATTTGCTACTGCACAGACACCACTTTGTTGGGTCGAAATAAAATCTAGGGCTATTTGGTTGTCCTGGACCACCTTAGGTGAGTTTATGGATTCTTGCTACAATTTAAAAACTCTTATGTCCAAAATAACATGTTCAAGTTTCCAGGACACGTTATAGAGGAAACTTTCCAACTGAGTCATTCCTAATTGAGGGATGATGCCTCTCGAGGGCAGAAGTAAGCTCTCTAGGATTTTCTTTGATGGTTTCTACCATAGGGGTCAAATTTCTCTGAATTCTGTACCTGGGAACAGGGTCCCAAGCATTACTGATATTTTGGAAACAATGGAAAAAGGGTACCTTCAACCGTCCTAGGGTACATTGCCTTCATTCACCATCCAGACATCAAAAGGCCCAGGTGTTGTAAGATTGCTGGTTGTACCTGCAAAGGAAATCATACCCTGGGGTGGGGGCATACATCATTCCTTTAGCTATTTGGTTGTTGTGTAGAGTTTCTGTCATTGCCCAGAACAAGGCTCAACTAGGGATTCACTACAGAGTGGGAAACTGCCCAGTTGACAGTCTTGTAAACATCTGAACTGCAGGCTGAATTTGTTTTAATAACTTGGTCAGTAAATTGAGGCTTCTCTGAAGTACAGGTACTGATACTTCCAGTGGGTATGAAGCTGTTAATCTGGAGCTCCCCTTCAGGTAGGTTCTGGTTAAGTTTTCTGGGGATCACCAGGTAAGATTAAAACAGTCCCAAAATAGACAAGAGCCACAGCCAAACCCTAAGTCCTCCAGGGGCATAAACAGAAGAACTGATTGTAATATTGGGCACAAGAGAATAACTATATGCTAGGATGGCTGAAGGGTCCCAAGTAGCAAGGGCAGAGCTGGGAATTGGGTGGCATATCCAGCAATTGGACAGTTGGCACTCTGTCATAACTGCCCGTGCCAATTGCACAAAAGCATCCTGGTTCCAACAATGCCCTTGATAAATATAAAAATCACAAGTCAACTAAAATAAACCTCATCCTGGCAACAAACCAACCTGCTTTAGGTAAATTGTGTAACAACAAAACGCAAAATAATAAATTGGTATACTTATGAGTCTTTATGGGATTTGGTCCATGCAGGGGGATACCTAGGAACCAAATATTTAAGATCTTTTATAGGCTCACAAGTCCATTTCTCACACTTGTGAGGAGTCGGTCCCTCAATGTCCAGAAGGGTGGTTCTCTTCACTCTGGTGCGGTGAATCCATTGGCAAGCAGTGCCTTGAATGGTCCAGTCCACTTATCCTGAAAGGGCTTAGCTTTGCAGGCCTTCAGGAGAACCCAGTCACCAGGCTGAGAGGGGTGGAGTGGTACTTCTGACTCAGGTGGATGGTGGTAAAGTATATGCATGTGAAGAGAAGACAGAGTTGCCAAGAGAGACTACAAATATTTTATAACTGGGTACCCTCTGTTACAAAGTCAACAGAGCCAATTTCTAAACCTATATTTGGACTGACCAAGCGGGGGCATCCTACAACAGATGAAGGGACTGGTTTTTAGTTTGCCTCAAGGAACGGTTCTGGTTCTCAAAAGGACCATGAGCAGCATTATAGTCCATGCCAGCTTTGTTGCCTGACAGAGCTTAGATACATGTCTTTTCAAAGTTTAATTAGCCTTTTTTTACCTTCTCCCTGGACTGTGGTCACCAGTTAATGTCTAAGACTTCTGCCAGGGACTGGATTATTTGGACATTTAAGTTAGGTAAAATATCACTTTGAATGGAAGTAGGAAGCCCAAACCTAGGAATTGCATCATTAAAAAGGTGTTTGCACACTTCTGTGGCCCTTTCTGATCAGCAGGGGAAAGCTTCTATCCATTGTATCTATACACACTGGTAAGTACCTGTAGTTCCCAGAACCCCTGGGCATTTCAGTAAAGTCAACTGGCCAATCTTCCCCAGGCATGGCTCCCCATCTCTGCATATGCAGGGGCACATCAGTGATGTTTTTAAGATCCTTTTAGTACAGGTAGGATGAGCTCTTACTATAGTGTCAATAAGAGAAAGAACATTCTAACACACTAGGTGTCTTTTGACCCCTACCATTATGAGTTGATCGATGTGCTTTCAGAAGGATGGGATGCATCAGTTGAGAGGGAATGAAGACTTTGCCATGTTTTATTATAAAACCAGAATCTCTGGTAGCATAGTGCCTCAGGCACTTGACTGCTAACCAGAAGGCTGGCGGTTCAAACCCACCAGCCACTCCTCAGAAGGAAGGTTGGGCGATCTACTTCCGTAGTGATACCGCCTCAGAAACCTAAGGAGGGGTCGCTATGAGTCGGGTCCAACTTGACGGCACATAACAACAACAACATTATAAAACCTAACAGCATAGTGCCCAAGGCATTTGACTGCTAACCAGAAGGTTGGTGGTTAAAACCCACCAGCCACTCCTCAGAAGGAAGATTGGCAGTCTACTTCTGTAGAGAGACAGTCTTGGAAATCCAAGGAGGGGTCGCTATGAGTCAGAAATGACTCAATGGCAGTGAGTTTGGTTTTTATTATTATTATAAAACCATCCATTTTTGTCCTCTCCTGCTCCCCACTTCTGAGCCAGGGCCTTGTCTTGCTAGGAGTAACAGGACCTTAAATCAGCAGGGGAGGTTTGCAGCTAAGGGATTAAGGATGCAATGATTGCTGGTTGCTGTGTGTGGGCAGCCTCTTCAACTGCAGTGTCCACTATTCAATTACCTTTTACCACCATGGTTTCTCCCTTTTTATGTCCTCAACTGTGTACCACGGTGACTTGTGTTGGGAGAAAGATGGCCTGAAGGAATTGCAGGATTTCACATGAGTGCTTAATGTCTGCAGCAGAAAGAAATCCTCTTTCTTTCCAAATTACTCCGTGAGCATGGAGTATCCCAAAAGTATACTTTGAGTCCGTGTAAATGGTGGCTCTCTTTCTCTGGGCAAGGTGCAGGGCCTGCAACATGACCAATGAACTTGGCCTTCTGTGCTGAAGTCCTAGGGGAAAAAGCTCCCACTATTTCATCAGGTATCACTATTTCAAAGCTAGCCATTTGTTCCCCACTCGCAACAAAGCTGTTTCCATTGGTGTACAGTTGCCAACCAGGCTTCTTTAAAGGTTGTCAGTTACATCTGGCCTACTGGCATAGACCAGGTCTGTGGTTTTTAAACAGTCAGGAACCCTCCCTTGGTATGGGAAGGAAGGCAAAAGTGTGGCTAGATTGAAACATCCTGTTGCTTTTTCTTTCCTTTTTTTTAATTGATTTTTATTGTGAAAACATACACACCAAGACATTCACCACTGATGACATTTTTCATGTTTTGACACTGTTATTGGAGACAGGCTGTTTCTTGAAGGGTAATTGTTGGGTTGTCCAGGAGCACTGCTTGGCACTTGGTCACTGGCCCTCAGAAATCCAGTAAGACCTGTGCTGTTAGAAGATGTGGTCCAAATGTGGCACAGTGACCTTTAGGGGGTTCCTGAGAGTTTCCCTGATGACCAGCACAGCAGCTATGACTACTCCTGAGCAGATGGGCTAGGCCTCAGTCACCATGTCCAGCTTCTTCAAGAAGTAGGCCATGGGTCATTTCCAGCTTCCCAGAGTCTGAGTGAGAATTCCCAGTGATTTATGAATAAAAAGTTTGAAAGAGTGACTCAGGTCTGGCAGTCTGAGTGCAAGGTCTTCCATGAGTTTAAACTTTAAGGTCTGTCTTAAAGTCTCACTTCTCTTCAGCAGTCTAATTCAGGGGTTCAGTTTCCTTTCCTTCTAGGGCTTGGTAGAGAGATTTTGCCATAAGTCCATAGTGGGGGATCCAGTTATGGCAGAACCCTGCCATTCCGAAAAAGTCTCTTAGCTTTCTTTTTGTAGTCGAAGTGGCCAGCAGCAAATGGCATCCTTTCTTGCTGGCAGCAACTCGTCTCCACCAGCTCTGATCTTAAACCCCAAGTAGATGACTTCTGGTAGGTTGATCTAAGCCTTTTCTTCTGACACACAGTGTGGTAGTTAAGGTTATGTGTCAACTTGGCTGGGCCTGGTTTTGAGTGGTGGACAGCTGGATGTTGTTATTCCCCATGATAAGATTGATAGTCACCTCCATGGTGAAATCTACTGGAACAGTTGAGTAGCTGCCTTAGGGATATGGGCTGCTTCAGGTATATAAAGAGAAGTTTTGAGAAAGGTCTCTGCAGCTTTTTTGCATGCTTATACCCTGTATGTAGCTGAGTCTTCATTCAGCAGCCTATCATGTTTCCTGCTGATCTTAGGACTGTCTCTGGACTTGAACTAGTGGTCTGCCATATTGTTTGATAATTTTGGGACTGTGCCATTTTACTTGACGACTTTGGGCTTGTTAGCCTCAGCAGCCAGCAGATGCCTGAGTGAAGAGATGCTTCTAGCTTCAGTGGACTGGGAGCAAGAGGCAGAGCTGAAGCCCAGGGTCAAGGAGCTTTCATCCATCCCCTAGAGCTGGCACTTTGAACTCAGACTTCTAGCCTCCAAAAATGTAAGAGAACAAACTTCTGTTTGTTAAAGCCATCCACCTGTGGTATTTCTGTAAGAATGGCATGAAATAACCAAAACACACAGTATCCAGCATTGCCTAGAAGGTTAAGAACTTCGACAGTATTCTGTTGCTAGGCCAATTGATCTTTTCTCGCTGTGAGAAGATCATCTACATATTGCAAGAAAATCCCATTGGTGAATGTTAGTCAGCGCAATTCTTGTGCCAAGGTTGAGTCAAACAACATAGGAGATATTTTTACCCTTGAGGCAAAACAGCCCAGCAGAATTGTTTGAGTTTCAAGAGTGGGTCCTCTCACTCATAGGCAAAAAATCTCTTGGCCTTTCACCTCCACTGGAGTGCAGGTGAAGGTAGCTGGAAGGATAGACAGTGGGGTGTAGGGGTTTGGGGCCAAAGGGTGCACTGTTAATGGTCATGCGGTTGACCACCTTCAAATCTTGCATCAAATGGTACTCTCTGCTCTTTTTCTTAACTGGAAGAATGGGAGTGTTAAAAGCGGTGACTGGTGTGGCTGAATCAGTCCACATGTTTCAAGTATTTGTCAATAACGTATGCAATGGCTTGGCAAGCTTCAACTCTGATGGGATATTGCTTTCACTGAAATGGGATGATGCCAGGTAGGAGGTTGATTATGACTGGGGGCACATTCTTGGTTCTTCCAGGTGTCTTGTCTGCCCAGATTCAACTTACCACTGCCTCTATAATTTTCATTTCTATGAACCTGTTTTGGTTATCTAGTGCCACTCTGACAAGAATATACCACAAATGGGATGGCTTTAACAAACAGGAGTTCATTCTCTTAGTTTGGAGGCTTTACGTCTCAGTTCAAAGCACCAGGCTGTAGGGGTTGGGTGAAAGCCCCTTAGCTTTGGGCTTCAGCTCTGCTTCCTGCTCCCAGCCCACTGAAGCTAGAGGCTTTTCTTTACTCAGACAGCTGCTGGCAGCCGAAGCTGACAAGCCCAAGGTTGACAAGTAAAAAGGCACAGTTCTGATGTTATCAAACCACATGGCATTCATTCAAGTTCACTGAAAGTCCCAGGATCGGCAGAGCATGGCAGGCTGCTGAGCAATGACATGGCTACATGCAGGGTTCAAGCATGCCATAAGCTAGAGACCGTTCCCAAAGCTGCTTCTTATATATGGGAAGCAAACCACATACCCAAAGCAGCTACTCAGCCACTTGTGGTAGATCCCACCATGGAGTTGATTGCCAGTCGCATCATGGGGAATAGCTACCACCAGCTGCCCAGCCACTCGGCCAGGCCCAGCCAAGTTGACACACAAAGTAACTACCACAATTCCACCCCTTGTCAACTTGGCACCTGCACAGATCTTCAGTGGGTGGCATCTGTACAGATCTCCTTCACTGGGTGGCTCTAGTCCCCTAGTTCCTGAGTGGTGACCTAGTGGGCCCTGTTCCTCTCCCTCTTAGGCATGGCAGCCCTGCCCCCTCACTCTTGGGCAGCAGCTTAACTCCATGCCATTAGCTCACACGAGTGAGCAGCCCCACACTCCAGAACCACGTTGGTGAAGGTCTGGCTCTTTGAAACCTAGGGGACTGTGGTGGTTCCACCCCCAAAGGCCATGGTCCTACCTTTGAGGCTGAGGCAGCTCTGCTTCCCATTTCCTTGGTCTCTCCACTTCTGCTGGTTAATGTTGAAGGCAACCCACTCTGCAGGAAATCTTCCTGCCCCAAAAGTACTCAGCTC